AAAAAAAAAATCTGAAAAAACGTCAGTCTAGGATTGTGAAATTTCGAACGTTTAAACACGTTTTCGAGCTAAAAACTCAATTTTTGTGCGAGATTTTGTAAAAACTGAACGAGAAATTATTAAATGAAGTTTATTTTAATTTTTTTTTATTAATTGTAATTAATTTTTATTTTCTTTCACATTTCTAGATTCTCAAATTTCAGAAATTTGTAGTCTTTCCAACGATGGGTTGGAGAAAAATTAGAGAAATTGTTTAAATTTGTTTAATTTTGCTAATTTTTTGGCGTTTCTATGATATCAAATATACTTTTTCTTGTTTTTTGATACAAATTGTATGGTTGTTTCCTTAACTTTGTCAGATATCCGAATTACACCCCGATTTTATTACGAGCGATAGAATTGTGGTACCACGACCCGCAGGTGACAACACCCGTCTTGAAACTTTTCGCCGAATTGGTTCAAAATCGTTCACAGAGGTTGCAATTCGATGTTTCGTCACCGAACGGAATTTTATTATTTAGGGAAGCGAGTAAAATAATTTGTAGTTACGGTAACACAATCTTTGTTAAAAAAAAAAAAGAATATGGTGTTACACACTCCCCATTTCAGGTAGTAGAATATTAAATGTAGAAGTACCAAAAGAACAAACGTATCCGTTGAAACTGAAGGGAATTTCGATATGTTTTTCCATGCTCAAGGCGGCTCTCTGCGGCAGTTACGTAAATTTCGGAGTGTTTCGACTATACGGTGATGAGACGTTAGATAATGCTCTTAATATATTTGTAAAATTATTACTCTCGATACCTCAGTCCGATTTATTGGTGAGTGTGGTAAAAATGTCGCAAAAAAGTCGTAAAAAAGTGAGTTTCTCGTTTAGGATTACCCAAAGTTGTCGCAAACTTATTACGTATTGTTGGAATGTCTAGCACAGGACCACATGAGTTTCTTATCAACTTTGGAGCCGCAAGTATTTTTGTACATCCTCTCCTCGATTTCCGAGGGGTTAACTGCCTTAGGTGGGCAACTGAATTACTATACAGGTCTGTACGGTTCAGGGACACAGCATGCAGAATCTTGTCACGGTTTTTGCGCCCCCCTCCCGAGACAAGGTTCTGTGTAAAATCAGACCCGGGTAATTACGTGTACTTTGGGGCTGTAGTTTTGTTTGGTTTTTTGTTTGGGTCTGCAGCTGTCATGTCTCTGACTGTACAAAACTCATATAGTTGAAAATGTGGATGTTTGTGTGCTTGTGCAGTCAAAAAAGACTTGACATTTTTTGTGCTTGCGTGTCTGGGTGTTGAATTATCCCTTTTTCGTGCATTTTTGGGCTAAAATTTGGCTAAACCAAGTCGAAAAATTACTAGATTGGGTTGAAAATGGCATTTTTTTGTCTTTTTTCTAGCAAGTTTTTCTATTATTTAGCGAAACTTCTTCGAGAATAAAACGAAAAGTTGTCAAATTGTGTCGAAAATGATACTATTTTTGAATTATAGTTTAGAGAGACAATTATTTCGCAAAATTTTGTGAAAAATAAGCCAAAAAATTCACATAATTTGGTGTTTTTTCTCAAAAATGCAAGTATTCTACGAAATATTCTGAAAGATAAGTTAAAAATGACTAAAAATGGGTTGTTTTTGCCTTTTCCTAGTGTTTTACTATATTTTTCATAAAAAATTGTTTAATAGCGCGTTTTTCAGTTAAAAACGCAATTATTTCAGGAATTTTTTTCAAAAATTACTAAACGGTGTTTTGTCGCCATTTTCAGTCGTTTTAGTACATACGTTTTTGAGCAAAATATTTATTTATTTTTTTTTAGTTGCACGTTTTTTAGTCTGAAACTCGGATTATTTACCGAAACATTAAAAAATTGTGATGTTATTATAAGGAAATATAAGTCAAAAAATCACACAATTTGGTCGAAAATTGTGTGATTTTTGCCTTTCATTTCTTAAAAACGAAAATATTTCACGAAATTTTGTCAAAAATAAGCCAAAAATCACAAGTATGGGTGACAATGGTGTTGTTTTTGCCTTTTTCTAGTGTTTTAGTATATTTTTCTTCAAAATTTTTTTAATTGTACGTTTTTCAGACAAAAACGCACTTATTTTACGAAATTGTGTCAAAATACACAAAAAAACACTAAATTTAGTCGAAAATCATGTTTTTTACCCTTTTTTCGAGCGTTTTAGTACGTTTTTGAGTAAAAATTCATTTTTTTTTCAATTGCACGTTTTTTAGAAACCCAATTGTTTACCGAAAAATTACCAAATTGTAGTGTTATTTTAGTCTTTTTTAAACGCTTAAACTAAAACTTACTAAAAACTAAAAACTCGAGAAAGATCGCACCGAGAAATTTTAAATTTTAATTCTGCAATGTTTCAGTTAAAAACGCAATTATTTTACGAAATTTTGTCGAAAATATATCGAAAATGCCTTTTTTGCGCGTTTTAGCACGTGTTTGAGCTAAAATCTCCTTTTTTTTGCTAAATTTCGAGAAACCGGAGCGAGAAATCACCAAATTGTGTCGAAAATGATTTTATTTTTGCTTTTTGCGTGATTTTTAGTGGATTGTGGAGGCAGTAATACAATTATTTCGGGAAATTTTGTCAAAAATAAYCACAAAAATCTATAAATTTGGCCGAAAATGGTGTTTTTTTTTGGCCTTTTTCGAGTGTTTTAATAGGTTTTTGAGCATAAATGTTTTTCAGTGAGAAACCCAATTACTTATCAAAAAATTACCAAACTGTTTTTTTTTTTGCCTTTTTTGAACACTTAAACTAAAAACTAAAACTAAAAAAATGTAAGACCGGATCGAAAAGTCACTAAATTTTAATTTTGCAGC